AAACTTTTTGGCCTGAGGGCCACATCGGGTTTTGGAAATTGTATGGAGGGCCAGTTAGGGGAGGGGGGCGTGGCCCGGCCCCCACCCCCTATCCGCCCCCCCACTTCTGGCCCCCTGACGGCCCCCCCGGACTCCTGCCCCATCCAAACCCCACTCCCCCCTGATGGCCCCCCTGCGCCCCCTGCCCCACCCCCCCTCCCTGTCCCCTGCCCCCCCCCGGAACCCTCACCCCAGACTGCCCCCTGCCGCCCCATCCAACCCCCCCCCCGCATTCCTGACTGCCCCCCGGGATATTGCACCCCACTGGATATTGCAGTTCCTAGTACACAGATTTCACCCTTGAAACCTGGGCCAGTCCCCTCAGTTGGGGTTTTCAGAGTGTCCTTGTTGCTTGCAGCGTAGGCGGGGGGAGGAGAAAGGCCCAGCGTGGGGTCCCTGTGTCTGTTTCATACCCTCAGTCCATGTGCTTGGGACACAGAGTCCAGGCCTGTCTGGGGCGTTGCTGAGTCCCCAGGCCAGGCTGAGCAATTCCCCTGGTGTGGCCTCAGGCAGGTGAGTCATCTCATTGTAGCTCCCTTGCTGGACAATGGCTGGTGATGGGCTGTTTCACATCCTGCCCGGGCGCTGGTTACTTTCCTTGCTGTTGCCTCTGGGGAGCTAATATGTGGGCGATTCCCCAACTCACAGCATGTTTTAGTGACAACCACACAACACAATCTCATAACTTCATATGCACTAAAGATACACATCTAGGGATAGAGAAACGACTCTCAGCAGATCATAACCTTTCCCCTGATACCTTACAAGGCCTGCTTTCTATGTGAGATCATGATTATATAAAAATGAGGACTATGGGGGTTCCAGGATGCTCCCCCAAGGTAGAGAATGTCACACCCACCTTATAGTAATTTAATCTAGACCACATTTCTCTGGTTTGCTTATGAGACTGTCCTGTGGGACTGTGTCAAAAACCTTACCAAAAATCAAGATATATCCTGGCTAGTGCTTCCCCCCTAATTACTAGACCAACAACCCTGTCTAAAAAGGAAATGATGGGCTGTTATAGAGGATAAGAACATAAAAGCGGCCATACTTGTTCAGACCAAAGGTCCATCTAGCCCAGTGTCCTGTCTTCTGACAGTGGCCAATGCCAGGTGCCCCAGAGGGAATGAACAGAACAGGGAACCATCAAGTGATCCATCCCTTGTCACCCATTCCCAGCTTCTGGCAAACAGAGGCTAGGGACACCATCCCTGCCCAGCCTGGCTAATAGCCAACGATGGACCTATCCTGCATGAATTTATCTAGTTCTTTTTTGAACCCCTGTTATGGACTTGGCCTTCACAACATCCCCTGGCAAGGAGTTCCACAGGTTGACTGTGCATTGTGTGAAGAAATACTTCCTTTTGTTTGTTTTAAACCTGCTGCCTATTAATGTCATTTGGTGACACCTAGTTCACGTGTTATGAGAAGGAGTAAATAACACTTCCTTATTTACTTTCTCCACACCAGTAATGATTTTGTAGACCTCTATCCAATCCCCCCTTAGTCGTCTCTTTTCCAAGCTGAAAAGTCCTAGTCTTATTAATCTCTCCTCATATGGCAGACACTCCATGCTCCTAATCATTTTTGTTGCCCTTTTCTGAACCTCTTCCAAGTCCAAGATATCTTTTTTGAGATGGGGCGACCACATCTGCACGCAGTATTCAAGATGTGGGTGTACCATGGATTTATATAGAGGCGTTATGATATTTTCTGTCTTATTATCTATCCCTTTGCTAATTGTGACGAAGTTGGGGATTTTTGTAGTGTTTTACATGAATAGTGTGTGCCTCAGTTTCCCTGCGTGCTGCATGTTTAACAAGGTGGTGGGAGAGGGTTTGTTGTTGCAGAGGACCAGGTGTGACCTCGCCTGGCAGCCGGGACCCCCAGACAACGGCCTGGAGATGGGGAACCCCAACAACTGGTGACCGGGTGACTAAGAGGCCTTTAATGATACCTCAATCTGGGACAGTTCCTCAGATCTGTCACCTAAAAAGAATGGCTGTTTTGAGACTCTCCCTCACATCCTCAGCTGTAAAGATCGATGCAAAAAATTCATTTAGTTTCTCTGCAATGGCCTTATCATCCTTGAGTGCTCCTTTAGCATCTCGATTGTCCCGTGGCCCCACTGGTTGTTTAGCAGGCTTCTTGCTTCTGATGTACTTAAAAATGTTTTTGCTGTTACTGTTTGAATCTTTGGCTAGCTGTTCTTCAAATTCTTTTTTGTCCTTCCTAATTATATTTTTACACTTCATTTGCCAGAGTTGATGCTCCTTTCTATTTTCCTCACTAGGATTTAACTTCCACTTTTTAAAGGATGCCTTTGTGTCTCTCACTGCTTCTTTTACTTTGTTGTTTAGCCACAGGGGCTCTTTTTTGGGTTCTCTTGCTATGTTTTTTAATTTGGGGTATACATTGAAGTTGGGCCTCTATTATGGTGTCTTTAAAAAGTTTCCACGCAGCTTGCAGGGATTTCACTTTTGGTGCTGAACCTTTTAATTCCTGTTTAACTAACTTCCTCATTTTTGTGTAGTTCCCCTTCTGAAATTAAATGCTGCTGTGAGCTGCTCTAGGAATTGTTTGGGGCAGTTCTATGGCCCGTGTTACAGATACGCCAGAGCCCTGTGGGAGCAGAGAGGGGTGGGGACGGGTGTGCCAGCCAGGAGGGGTGGACTCTGCCTAGGGGTCCCCAGACTGGTTTAGCCTGTTCCTCCCACTGTTCAAAGACAAAGCTAAATAGGTTTCATTAGGAGCCTTTTGTTATGTTAAATGCTCAAATGGGAGCTGAAATCGCTTGTGGTGGGGCAGTGTCTCTGCCCAGCCTGCACAGAGCTGAACATCACTAGAGACGGCTGTGCAGAGGTCACAGCAGAGAGGCAGGCGGCAGCAGAAGGTGACTGGCAGTCGGCTGGCCAACGAGCGGCTGGTGAGGCGCTGAGCAGAACGAGCAGAACTGTGGCTGGCAGGACGGCTAGCAGAAAGGAGCCGTGGCTGGCGGGGCGGCTAGCAGAGAGGAGCCATGGCTGGCCAGGGGGCTAGCAGAGAGGCACCGTGTTGGGGGGGGGGGGGCCAGCAGAGAGGCACCGTGGCTCGCAGGGTGGCTAGCAGAGAGGAGCTGTGGCTGGCAGGGGGACCAGCCAAAGCAAGTGCTCAGAGGGGGGAACAAGCCAGGTGCCTTCTCCCGGGTGGGAGGGGAGCTCACACAGACGCGGGGTCCTCACTGACCAGGGACCCCCCTGTGAGTGGGGTGCGGTGGAGGGAAACGGGAGGGGTACAGGAAAGGAACTGGGGGTTGTAGGTCTCAGGAACACGAGGGGGAAGTTCTGCTCCATGCACTCTGGGGCGGGCGTCCTGCTCACAGCATTATGTGTATGAATCCTGCTTGTGGCATTTTCCTAATTAACACCGGGCGACTTCCCTCCTCTCGTGAAAAGTGTCTTTTCTACACTCAGACTCTGTGTGTGCGAGGGGGGACTTTTGCCTCTCAGAGGCGCCCGGGGTGGGGTGTAATTTCCCCAAGTTACTGGCTGGGGGCTGGAGACGGTTCTGTGCTGTGTCGGTGCAGAGGAACCCCTAGATATTGAACCCGGCTCTGGTTGCTGCCGGCTCCACCTGGCAGAGGGGTTACAAGTTCAACCCGTCTTTGCGTGGCCAGCTGGCTTCATGGGGGTGTGACGGTGCTGCCTGTGGGAGCCAGCTGAGGTCACTCAATCAGGGTGAACTGCAAACAGAACGGGGCAAACAAACCCCAAAAGCTGGTGGATCTTCCAATACTTAGATTTCCCAACCAGCCCAAAACAGCCTCTGTATTACCTCACTGGTTACTCAGAGTCCAAACAACACAGTTCCCTTAAAGTACCCAGCCTCAGGCCTCCATCCAGACACACCTGATGATGATTCCTGACAATCTTATCTCATCATATAAAAGAAAAGGTTCTTCCAACCCCAAAGGATCAGCCACACACCCAGGTTCAATTATAACTTAGATCTCACCCAAAATACACGCTAATAGTCAATTCTTATTAACTAAGCTAAAATTTATTAAAAAAGAAAAGCGAGAGAGTGTTGGTTAAAAGATCAATATACAGACAGATGTGAATTCAATTCTTGAGGTTCAGAGACATAGCAGAGATGAGCTTGTAGTTGCCAAAAGTCCTTTTAGAAATAGTCCATAGGTTATAGTCCAATGTCCATATTCAGGGTGGCTCCAGTCAATGACTGGGGATCTCAATCCTTGTGGCTTAAGGTTTCCCCCTCTTGAAACCCAAAGCAGATCTGAGAAGAAGAAGGATCGTGTCCCAGGGTTCTTAAACATTTCCAACAGCCTTTCGGCCTGAGAAAACAATAGGCTTAACTCTCCTTCTCCCAAACATCCTGGCAATTAGCACAGGGTAATTTACTCATTAAACAGTTCAGATACAGGTTACCACAACCTTCAAAGAGACATAGAGACAATAATACTATTTCCCTCAAGTGTCTTCCTAAATGTTAATATTCCTGTTTTGATCTTTGAATCAAAGCTATAGCAATAGACAAGACTTGTTTGCTTACATCACAAGCCCTGAGCAAACATCTACCCTTTTACCTCTAACAATGCAGACTTGCATTTCAAAGCTCTATTCGTTTACAGATCTTCCTAACCAGTCTAGGTTCACCCATGGGTCAGGTCAGTCTGAGTTAATTAACTCTTTCTGGCCCTGTAACCCTCCAATGAAATATTATATTACACTCATAACGTCACAGGGGGCTGGACTGAAGGTGAAGGTTATTTACTGATCTTTGTGCAGGGAGAAATCTCAGCTGCAAAGGACACGGCCAGCAGCTCGGACGGGATCAGGCAGGACCCAGCCTGCGCCTTCGGCCAGGGAACCCTGAGCCAGCACCCCCAGAAACCAGCCTGCTCCCCCGGCTACATC